GTACCTATTGTGAAATACACAAAATAACAATATAGTTTTAAATTTTTAAATTGTGCTATTTTTATGGCTAAAGTATAAAGTTGTAGGTACATAATATTTTTTTTTTTTTTTTTTATTAATTATCCCGCGGCAACTTAGGTCATTGGAAGGGGGGTACTGTAGGTTTTGGAACGGTAGGTGGGTTACACGTGGGTGTATTTCTTGGCAGAATTTCGAATGGGGCACCCGTAGGTTTCTGCCATGCTTCGGAGTGTGGGATGGCGGCACTTGTTCTCCGGACACCGTGACTTGCCCGGAGAAAAATGCCACCCGGTGGTCGAGAATCGAAACGGCGACCGGCAGCGCCGCAGCCGACGCTTTAGACCGCTCGGCCACCTCGTCCCCCGTACATAATATTATACTATAAATCAGTATATTTTCATTTTTCTCTCGTTTTTCAATCGATTAGACATCACCGGAATATATTTATATTTGTAAACATGATCGATGGTTCTTTCAAATAAAATGTATTTATAAATACAAAATATATTCAGATCGTTTAACCTCGGCACCTCGCTGCAAGCTATTAAATGAATATTATAATGTTACACATGCAGGTCATATTATATTATTGGGTATGTTTCGGCATTTTAATAATTGTATACATTTGTATATCTTAATAATAATTATACAATAAATTAGATATCAGATACTAGTGATTATAGTGATTAATTATAACTTTTCCGCACATAAATGTAACCACACGGTCAAAAGTTGAATATTTTCAACTATGTGGTATCGTTTGGTAACTGTGGTAAGTACTGGTAACACGGTGACACGGTGTAGTGTGGACCCGGCTTAAACGTTGAACGAGGTGGTTAGGTGTATACCATGACTTACGTTAAATACGATCGTGTCTTCGGTACGGTATGTCACGACGTCACGTATGTCATCGTATGAACAACGAGAACGAGATATTATTAATAATATTGGGTACCTACTACCTATAGGAATACATTTCGTAAATCGTAATCCGTACCTATGTTTTCTATTGCGATGGTACACGTTGCAGTATTATAGTAGGCAGTACTCTGTACTAGGTACCTAGCTATTTGTTATATACGGGGTGTAACAGGAAGACCTGAAAAAAATATGCTATTTAAACGTATGACAAAAATTGTAAATTTTATATTTTGGAAACGTTATTACGTTCTAAGCCTTAGAATCTAAGGAATAAACTACTTGACTTAGATAGATGTTTTTACCGTAAAATTGTTCTTAAAATCAGATTTACAAATTGGCTATTTTGAATTTTTTCAAACAAATTTAAATAAAAAATGAAAATTTTTATTTTCAGTATTTATTAAAAAGAATATATTACATATTTTTATATTATACATTAATCGCAAGTGACTATAAATTAAATATATAAAAAAAAAAGTAAATATTGATTAGAAGTTAGAAAAAAAGTTATTTCATGTGTCAGGTCTTCCTGTTACACTTTGTATATAGCATATACATATTATTAAGCTATATTATTATAAGTTAAAAAAAATCTCATAAAATATTACATGATACAAACAATTTTCGTTATGTATATTGTATATAAATATAATATATATAATTGTCATAGTTATACCAGGCTGTACATATGTACATGTGTCTGCCACGTATAAACATTTTGACATTTACGTTTAATGCCTGTCATCTTATTATACCTTAAAGTAGAATATTTTCAATAGTACTTACTTAACCTGTACCTATAATGTATATACCTACTATGCATACCTACACAAATACACTGTACTTAGCCAGGTAGGTAGACGTAGACCACTTAGTGATAAAATATCGCTTGAAACGTAAATGACTGGAAATCTCTCAAAACTCCAGAGTTTCTTTAGTTTATTATGTTTCTTATTATACCGCCGACATTAAACGATTAACTCTATCTGGGTAGTCGTAGCGTGCGTATAAGAAATTAGTGGTCTAGAAAAAAAATGTCTACCTACCTTGAAAAATAATAGTGAAGCTTTATGCATAGGTAACGTGGTTCTATACAAGTCTCTAATCTGTTTTTGCCTTTTGGTAATCTTGAACTCTTGTTAAAGGAATGTATAATAATATTATTTATTTATATACCTTCAACGTATAACTATAATACATCGATAAATATAGATTATAGCTATATAATGATTATTGATTACCTACATAATTGTTTCATATAAGTATATAATATTTTTCTTGAATATACATTTTAACCGCCATTTTCCAAAAAATTAAATTTTTTTCATGGGTTATAATTGTTATAGCAATCTTGTACATATTTCAACTATAGGTATATAATATCGTACATTTTTAAAACTAAAAACAATAAAAAACCTCTGTGTAATTGAGTCTTATGTTTAAATTAATAAATTGGCCTGTAAATTTGTATATTATTGCTACTATGGTATATAATATGATTGTTATTTTTATAACGTTTTCACGAGGGTAAATTGATCGTCGCTGTGCAGAGGGCGTTTTAACAACGTACGTGACATATAATAACACTCTACCTTTCCTATCCTTCAGTTGCTGGCGCACATAATTTGTATATTATACAATATATCATTCAAAACGGCATAATAATACATTTATTAAAAATAATATGGTTTAATTATAATTTATGGCGGGTTAAATAATATAATATTAAGGTGTATGTATAATATTTACGACTGTAATTCGTTATTGGACCGACGGGGAGCTATTTATTTTTTTTTGGATTTATTATCATCGATCATTTTAATTTTTGTGATTTATACTCAGCTTATGTATGAGTGATGGTGGGATGTGGTGAGTCTGAATGAGAGATAGCAAGAGAGAATAACTTCCTGAATGGCTATCCGATGTACGTCATGGATTTTACTTCGTACCTATATTTAAAGTACTTATATGATGTATTAGTATACATAGTTATTTTACTTCTAAACGTTTGGCACAAAGCCGACTATGATCCCTATTTCAAAATACCAACATTTGGTATTAAAAAAAAAGAATAGTTAAGTCAAGTTAAAAAAAATACAATTTTGTTGACACAATAATTTCTTTTTGTGTGATTTTTAAGTTGCATAAAGTCTGATATTGGTAGGCAACTGTTAAATTATTATAATAACGAGAATATGAGATGATGGCCCTCAAAATTAGTTAAACCTACACGAAAAAGAAACCCGTTAAATTTCGTTGTACAAAACTAATTAAGATTAAACTAATTCGTATACCATTATAATATTGACTTGGGAAAGGATATGGTACACCTACCTTCCTACATCTGAATGATCACAAAACAATTAAAAAAAACTGCACTTATAAAGTCATAATTACATAGTGCTGAGATCCTTTAATCCCCAGGGCAATAATATTTTGCACATACTTAAACGTTTGCCACCCTTTAATATGTTACAACTTTTACCAACTTATAGGGCACTTGCCCCATTTGACTCCGCCTTGACACGACTCTGTGATAATTATTTTTGATAGTAAATGTGTTAATTTTACTGTCGGGTTTTTGGCTTGTACTTAACCGGAGATAGAGAATGTGCTGGATTTAAATTATATAGTATACATTACATTGCCGTACATAGAAAAAATATGATAACGTGATACTATACAGTACTATAACTATAGTCTATAATATACGAACTATGTGTTGTGCAGCAATAACAACAATTATTTTTAAAGAATACGGAAATATTTTTTATAACATATCGGTATTCGGGGATTTTCCGTCAAAAAAGCAGTTATATATTCCAAAATAATTTTAATATAATGTTTAAATCTGTTTTGTAGTATTCGTTATTTCGTATTATGCATAGCTGTCAGTTGATTATTTGAGTTCTCACGGAATTTAATGTTATTCACTCATTCGTTCCACTGAATAATATGAGAACGTATTTTACATTCAACCCTAACAATAAGGATTAAGGGGTACATTTCCTTATGGTCCTTTGAATTTATTATTTAAAATCTGACTTAATGGAGCATAATCGGTACATATTTTAGGTATATGTACCTATTTTAACTCTTTGGTGAGTGAATCAAGAATACACACCACACAGGCGTTACTCAGTAGTCAGGGATCCAATAAGGAATGGAAAATTGAAAAAAAAATGTATTCTTTTAGAAGCAATGACGTACGTAAGTATATTTACGTCTCACTTTTATCGCCATATTTTTATCGATGACTCATAAATACGTCCCGAATAAGTGTATTTGTAATAGACTTTACAATATACGTAGGCTTATAATGTAAAACCCTATAAGGCTATAAAATACAAAAATAACATTGGCGGATAAAACGCATATACCTATATAATGTCATTGCTCTATTAGAAAAACTTTTGATAACATAGACCTATCAATGATCTTCAAAGAGTTAAGTAAAAACCAATTACAAAATACATGCATACCAGCTATTACCCACATGCAAAAATATTAAATATTTGATTGTTAAAATTCGAAATAAAAATCATATATTTGAACTTGTTGACTTTTGCGTTATATTATAGTATTATATAAATATTATGCATGCATATACATATGTACTAACGGTAAATACTTGAAAAGCTATTTTGGAGGTACAAAATCGTATCGGTCAAAGGTCCCTACTAAACCTGCCGTCAAACCTAGCCCAAAAATATAATATACAAATCGAAAAGACCATCGACGCCCGTCGGTAAGCAATAATATTAATTATACTGTTTTATTCTGTTTTCGGTGGCAGAAACGAAAACACGTAGCGGTGGCGGAGGACGAGGCGGTGGAGTCGGCGGCGGCGTCGGAGGCGGTGCAGTTGACGGCGGTGTCCGTGCAGGTGAATACGACTACAACTGCTGCGACGGCGGTGGCGGTGGCGGCGGCTGTAGCGTCGACAGTGGCGGCGGAAGTGGTGGCGACGGCAGCGGCGGTGGTATGGACGGCAGCGGCCACTGCAGCTAGTGCCTAGCCCGCTGTGGAGACACCATGGAGACGAGAATGGCCGCGTAATGAATGCGCTCGCGGCTCGGGCGGCGTTGTCTGCACTGTACACCGCGTCGACGTCATCGTCGTCACTCGAAGCGGCGGGCACCCATGCGTGGACGACGGTGGCGTCGGCGGCCGCGGCCGTGGTCTCGAACGGCACCACCGCCGCCGCCGGGCTGCCCGACGGTGGACCGCTGCAGCCCAGGTTCACGCTGTCCCAGACGGTGTTCATCGCGCTCGTGTCCGGCATGCTCAGCTTCGTCACCGTGTCCGGCAACATAATGGTCATGGTGTCGTTCAAGATCGACAAGCAGCTGCAGAACATCAGCAACTACTTCCTGTTCAGCTTGGCGATGGCCGACTTCTTCATCGGGCTCATATCCATGCCGCTGTTCACCGTGTACACCATACTCGGCTACTGGCCGTTCGGTCGACACGTGTGCGACGGCTGGCTGGCGCTCGACTACCTGGCCAGCAACGCTTCCGTGCTCAACCTGCTGCTGATCAGCTTCGACAGATACCTGTCCGTCACCAGGCCGCTGACGTACAGGGCCAAGCGGACCAAAGGCAAAGCGTTGCTGTTCATATGTAAGTGTACACGTATAAAATCATCGTTTTTAACAAAAAATTTGTGCTACACGATAGGTACACGATAACTTGTAGACGGCCGTGTTATATTATTAATCCAGGGTTTGAGTCGTAAAACACTGAAAATCGTTAAATTAATGATTATATTACATATAGTACCTAGTTATGTTATACAGCGGCTAACCAACTAACATATTATTATTTTACATTTCGTTTTTAATATAATAAGAATTGTATAAACAATTTGTTTGAACATATTTTTGCCTTTTGGTAACCCAACTCGTCCACCATAAACGGATTCTGCGTACGCCACTGATATTATAATATTATGTTCTCTAAAATAAAGTTGTATGAAATATAAAACTAATTAAAATATTCCTATGTCTATGTGTCTAAATATAATAATTTGATATAGTAGATACGCCGCACGTGCATACCTATATGGCTATATAGTGCGAAGGGCATACCTACACCGCTACACAACAATTTCACTTATTAGATTCAACATCTCTAATACCTAGTAGTATGTGGACATGTGGTATTTGTTATGTGAATATTAAATGAGCTAAAATAGCCAATAGGGTTAGCTGGTTTTCTACCCATACCTCCATCCATTCCTGGTTCTAACATGATGTAGTTCTGTCTAGGTGCAGATACTCTTGACATTATTAGTTATGGCTTGTGTAAGTTATTGCACAAAAAGTTTTTAAATTTTCAAAGTACAACAACAAATATTAGTTCAAACTTCAATAAAATATAGTATACACTGCACTCGTAGTACAAAATCCAATTTGCTAAAAACTATTGTATATTTCAATATATAGGTACCTACCTTATACATTTGCAAAATGATGGTCTTTGTTTGGAATAAAGAATATGCAACTCACTGGATTACTTAATTACAATATTTAATCAATAATTAACATATTAAGTCATACATATATAATTTGAATACAATATTATCATAAATAGAGAGAAGAATAAATACATTTTGAATAAAATAGATAATAATATAAGAAAATGTTTTTTTATATTATTTTTATAATAAAACAACAGAGATTATTAACAGATAAAAAATAAAACAAAGCGCAATAGATAACATTATAATTACGGTGTAAATACTAATGATGAGAAACATTGCTATCCCATATTATTTTGGTTAAAGATTCCTCTCAGTATAGATTTGATTAACGGCAAATAAAATATGTCATGTAACCGGATTATAATATACTGGGTATCCGAATATCGAGTCTTTCTATATATTTCGTGACGCATCTAAAGGCTACGTAGCAGTTCCCATTTAAAACTTACTATTAAGACTTATAGTACATACCAAAACTCTAGTACCTTTTCTCTATAGCAGGAGCAAATCCAAAATGTTTTGACACGGGTACTCAAAAAAAATAACATGTGGGCACAAATCAGGAGAAGTCAAATATAGTAACTTTAAGTAAGTCTTTATTATTTGGTGCATGCGGTCCAGTGGTAAACCATTTGGACTATAATCGTACGTCAACAACTCACGTGTCGGATGAAACGACATAATTCTATATTTCCCTTATACTTCGAGATATTGACAACATTGTGAAAATTCATAAAATTATCTAGAAATTGTTGAAGATGAAAATATTTTATTTTTGAAATAGTTAGTAATTAGAAGTAATAAAGGTTTGACTTTTGACAATGAATACACTTCTTAATAGTTATATTTTGTTATTATAAACACCGACTTCGTCCAAAAGTAATACAAATATCAACATTGGTCCTCTATATTATAAATTATAGTCTTTAGAATTAGAATAGCGTATTACGAAATGAAAAGCTTATAAATTATTTCTATTATTTAAACAGTTTTATTGTAGTTACATTTTTCCAACAGCCCCTTTCAAAAGTCAAGATACTTCGATAGAACTTTTTTTTTTTATATACAATGTTATTTATAAAATACTGACCACCTAATTAGAAAGTTTTGTGACACAAATCACATTTTATAATATAAAACCACTTTGGAATGCATATTGATTAGCAGTTATTTCATTATTCAAGATATTTCAGAGTTTCTAAGCACCTGATTGTAAATAAAATATTAAAATATATTAATAGGTATGTTAAAGTGTACGCTTGAAAAAAAATATAGATGACATTCGATGCATTTAAATACATCTTGTACCTTTTACGTACAATAAAGTTTCAAGGAATAGATAATATTAAAAAAAATATTTTTTTTAAAATAATTATAAATAGACAATTGCATGGGGTATATCGTATATGACAGAACTAAGCTCTAACAAGTATAATGTATATACTAAAATAGTTATCACTTAATATTATTATCACTTATCGTCCATGTATAGGTACCATGTCATTATGATATTTTTGACTTTCATAGTCAACACCTTGAAAGATTAAACAAATAAAGCCATTCATAAGTTTATAGATTTAAATGTGGATCAAAATAATATTTTAAAAGACACGATAGCGGTATAAGAAAAATGAATTATTTTTAAGTTTGCACAGGAAAATGAAATACAATAAACATTTATAAAAGAAAAATTAAATTTCCACCGTGAATCTCAAGATTTCTGTTTGACCGCCTCTATAAAATGCGAATATCGGAAAATTCTTCCTTATTGCACATCTAGATCAGTAGAGGAACCACCATTCCAAGTTTCAAGTTTGTATATTTTATAGATTTTGATATGTAGCGATGAATGAGTAAGTGAGTGTACTCATGAGTGGTATTTGGTTGATTTTATTCATAAATAAAATATTAAAATTCTAATGATATTAGTAGAATAAAAACAAATAACTTTAACTTCAATGTTTGAGAATTCATTGGAAAGTTTCGTTTGCTACACATATAATTATGTGGCAAATATAAATGAAAATAAGCCAAGCTAAATTTGTAGATTTAAACAGTAAACGAAACCACTTTGGAACACTTATTGTGTGTTAAATGACAAAGCTGGCACGTGGATCTAGCAGTGGAAAATCATATAAAAGTATAAGCCCGAGAAGTCCAGTCTCGATCACTGATCCCTGATCACCAAGGCGCCATTGCTGATGCAGACAGCTATTCGAGAAACCTAAAATAAAAGCTAGATAGCAGCGGAAACAGACCGGCGTCTCCGTGGTACCAAAAAAGTTTGAGAAACCGGAAACTCGCATGAAATCTTTGCATGTGGGTAAGCTGCCGTTTATCTGCAACACTGGTCACTGTTTGTCGGTTGATTAGGTCTGCTGTGCATTATCTAAATGAAGACGGATCCCAGTCCCAGCATTAAGTAATTCCTTGGCTAGGACTGTCACTTTGGGATTTCAAAAGTAAAGAATTCCTTTTATTTTTCAAAATTATCGCAACAAAAAAAAAATTGGAAATATTTAGGCTAAACCAGTTTTCAACAATATCTATTTTGTTTTGGGCTGTAACTGAAAAATGTATAATTGTAGACTTGAATTGTTCATCAAATATTAACAATAATATATAATATATAATTAGTAATATGGCTCTTTTGAGTTATTTATAGAAAATTTAATTTGACTACTTTTTTAGTTTAGTTTTGGTCTATACATGCAGATAAGTGATAACTTTTTTGTTTTTGATTAAAATAGCTTGAGAATTAAATACAAGGTTCATCTCACAAATTCACAACTTATTAACGACATTTCAAATTCAAATTTCAATAAAATGCTATATTTAAACAATTAAACAAAAATAATGATTTTCAGTATTCTGTTGTAATTCATAAAAACATTAAATATTATTCGTATTTCGTAGGAACTTTAAACTTATAATATTAGTTTGATATAATATATATGAAATTTGTTTCTGGCAAAAATTAGTTAAGCCCTGCACCATAATACAAATGGAAAAATAAATTATTTATAACAATATAAATAAATAATGAAATATTCTCAGTAATATAATATTCTGACTTAGGATTTATCATTGAATTCACATTTAACACATCCATTATTACAGTGACCTACTCAATGTATATCACTCGACACCTACTAAATAGAGCAGATATCTATTGCGTATCAATAATTAATATATATTATTTGTAGTTTTATCTATGTTTTCGTCCACCTTGAGTTTTTAGTTTAAAGCTATAAATTTCCACCCGACATATACTACGCGTTACGAATTTTAAAACTTTTCATACAGAGACGTTTAATATAATAACTTTATGACAAGTGTAATATGTAATAATTATTATTTATAATAAATATTAATATTTAATTAATAGCTAATTAATTAATTAGCTATTTAATAGCTATTTAATTAATTAGCTAATTAATAAATATTAATATTTATATATTTTATCGTTGAAGACTGCATTAAGATTAATGCATTGTATAGTAATATTATGTACATACACAGACAGATACACCGCCAAACGTGTAAAACCAGGAAACAATGAAAACTCGTATGTAATTTAATACGATAATCTTATATAATAAAACGCTAATAACGCGTATAAGATCCGCGGGGAGCGCTCACGGCACTCCGCGTTTCTTCCATGACCACCAATCACAATACTTCCCGCGCGTTCGCTATAAATTCCGCTCGCTTATCTCCCATTTCCTTATCGACGAATATTTTCGAACATTATTATTATTATTATTATTAAAAAAAAACCCGTGTTTTTCAATTTTTTGACGTGATAATAACGTCTTATAAATCGATTACCCCGCGACCGTCGGGCGGAGTAGGGGGACCCATTAAACGAGTACTTAGCCGGTATTCGACTTAGAGACCCCGTACCAATGGGCATCTCAATTTTTTAGGCCCCAGATGAATTTTCAACATTAGGGAACCAAAGCCCCCACCCCCCCCATTTTGAGTTGAGTATAACTCGGCCGGAATTCAAGTTAAAGACCTCGGACCAAGGAGGAACCCATTCTTTTTATGAATACTACCGTTTTCCGCTTTAGGGAACGGGGGCACCTCCTCCCCCCCTTTTTGGATTTTGCTTTTTTGATGGATTTTGGTCCGG